TTTTTTTTTTTTTTTTTTTTTTTGTTCTTGTTTTTTTTAATTTATCTGTAACATGAAATTAAAGAACACCAAAGAAGGGATTCTTAATTGCAGAGTCGAGCTCAGAGCCAGCTGAATTAAGCACTGCTCTGTCAACTTTGTCTCTGGGCAAAAACAAGAACTCATCACCTTCAATTTTCTCAAACCCACACAGCTCTAGAAACTCGATTCCTCCTCTCAGTGCACCCACTCTATCCTGTTGCATCCAATCAGTAATCCCAGTTTAGTTTCACTATAACGTAACAAGAAAGGGACGGGACTGCAAACGATGTGCTCGAGAATATATAAATTTATAAATTTAATCCTGAAGTTTAGTTCTTATACATTGAAAAAAAAGAAATCAATTACAAGATTTAAATTATAGTTCTAGCCTCTAGGTAGTACCCAACTTCTAACTATGATGTGACAATTTTTACTACAAAAAAACATTTACTAATTTGATATGATACAACCAGAATGAAAGTGGCTGGATCAAATAATTAGAGCATGTGACACTTTCCAAACCCACATAATGAATCTCTTCTATGAAGATCACACCACTTACTTTTCAAACCCATATATCACTTCAGTTCAAATAAGCCAACTTTTGGCTGGATCAATCTGTTATTTAACTATTTCTAGATTAAAAATTACAATGAACAAGAAAGAGGATAACTAATCATGCCACGGAGTGGCAGCAAGTATCACAAAATCAAGTTCACTGTCATAATGTTAATGGTCGAATGATAAATTCCAATGGAGAAAGATCATTCTTGCTTCATTGCTTGTTATATATTTTGGGTCCAGCTGAAAACATATCATTGGTTTGCAAGTATGTGATATAATGAAGTATTTTGGATTAGAGAGTTTTATTCACCAGAAAAAGGCGGCAAAAGAGAAGCATAAAAAGGGCAATCAATATAAAAAAAGGACAACAGTCCCATTAATCATCCAATTGGGCAGTTACCTGGAAAGTTTGGTTGCTGAGTCTAATCTTTCTGAACTTCTCTTCATCAGGATTTTTCACCACGTTTCCCACGTAAGTTAGAAGGGTTTGAAACGCCCTCTTCACTTTAGCATCATCCTCCTACCACAATAGAAGTAGTTCAGTAAGCCAAGCGGCCACTCTAATCAATGGAATTTACTTGAGAAATGAAAGATGAATAGAAATTATCATTTCAGTACTGACGTTCAAGAAATTAGGAGTGGCGTCTTTGACTTGGCTAAGTTCACAACTTCTAACGGGTGTAAAAGTTCAATTTTTTTTTTCGGTTATATCCAATAATATAAGTAATTGTACTTCTATGTGTGTGTGAGCACATATAGGAAAGTAATTGTAACTTGAGTGGGTTCTTGTGAATTCCTATTTTTGTTGGAGGGTTTTATGAAATCTCAAATATATTTACCTTGTGATTGGACTTTAATGATCGCAAACATTCTCTCATTTGCTCTGCTTTTGAAGCAGGTCTAACCGGCAACGAGAGCTGCAGTTCAAATAAACTAATATTTAATCACAGATACTCTATGCAATTCAGAAGTTGAAGAGTAGATACCGTATCCGGAAGGGCAGGCAATACCTTTTTCTCTTCAACAACTGGGGCGGGAGGTTTCGCAGTTGAAGGATCTTCTGCTGGCAACCCAAGTCTCCGTCTTCTTTCCGCCTGGTGAAAATAACTTCTTTAGGACAAAATTCAAATTCTATTATCATATTTCCCACAACTAAAGCGTAAGTAATGTGTTTATTTAAAACAAAAATGAAGAATTTTCACTCTTTACCAGCCAAAATAGCATTCCTTTTGGACCATCAGGATTTCTTTTGCATAAAACTTTGTTCTTCAAGTTGAAGAAAATTAAAACTTATTTCATGATGAGCGTTCTGTTGGTAGCAACCTTTTAATACTAAATAGTCATAAACACCGCCATATCTCTTGCATATTATTCATTATTTTTTTTACGACAGAATAAGTTTTCCATTAATGGAAGGGGAAAGTTCATAAACTAAGCTTTCATTAAATGATCTTTTTGCTCCGGAAAGTTCTGTTCTTTAATCTGTTAGCTTATCGGCATACATAGCTTATCCGGAAAGTCCTATATATTAAAAATTATTATAATGGGAAGTTTTTCATGATCCATGCTCACTTAACAAAACTCAATTAATCTCATTATATTTGGAATTAAGAAATCCAGTATATAAATATCCTAGCAGGGCTGACTTGACTTAGAAAAGGACAATACACACTGATGAGACAGATTTCACCACCGAGGTTTCAGATCATGATTCCAAAGAAATTAGTCTCTGTCTTTTAACCAGTATACCAACCCCGCTAGATAAATAATTGAAATTACCGGTTGCAGTCTAATTATCACTTCTTTTCACGGCTGAGGTTACTGAAGAAATGATTAAAGGTGTAAAATACGACCACAACACTAAAAATAATTTCCGTAAACCAACATGCAGCGATGCATTTAAAATATTTTAGATTAATCTGAAAAGTAATCACAGTCAGAAATCAATGCAGATTGATTCGAGAAGAACAACACACTTAAAGAATATTAAAAATGAAAATCTTAACCATGGCTTCATTGCATTAATCAAACAAAACTCCAGGATCAGGAACTATCAAAATACCTTGTCCTCTTCAAGTTTTTGACGAATTTTTTCTCTGGCTCTTTTCTCTTCTTCTTTTTCAGCTTTCCTCAAGGCCAATATTCTACAACGGGAAAGATATTTTGCAGTTGAAAAAGGGAACAAGCTTGAGTACAATATCGTAATAATGCTTTCAATATCATAAGAACAATTACAGATATGAACAATTCTATCAAACTGTAATAATGCTTTCAATATAGAACAATTACAGATATGAACAATTCTATCAAACTTAAAAATACCGTAACAAAGACCCAAAAAGTACCTTTTTCTCTCATTTAATTCCTCCATCCTTTTTGCTTCTAAGAGCTCCTTGCCAATTCGAATTCTCTCCTGGAAAAACAAACACGTTATATTATATATTCAAGTTGTCACAGTCCTTAAAAAGCTAAAAGACCCAGCTTTACTACTTTCACTTTTCCATGGCCCGACTTCTAGTTCAACCACCAAAGTAAAGAAAGAGAAAAGGAGCTTGATTATTAAAAATTAGAACACAAACATGAAAGAAATAAAAGAAATGACAACAAAAAACTTTTAGAATGAAAATACGATAAGTCTTCATCCTAATGTTCCTCATAATTATAATTATTTCTTGAAAGATTTCTGTAAAAAAAATGAATGTAACAAAAATACCTTTTCCCTTTCTCTCTCTGCTAGCTTCTCTTCCTCCTCTTTTTTCTTCCGAGCTCGTTCCCTAAAAAATAGTTCACCATATGAGAAACAGAATAGCAAGCAAATCACCAAAAGTTTGCTCGTTCACCTAACAAAACAATGCTAACTGGCAATTACGCAGTCAGAGGAATATTTATGATTCAGTTCATCAGAACTATTTTCCATCCTTTTAGTTGGGTTTTCTTGCCCAAACACTATTTATTGTACTCCCTTTGGACGTTAAAAAAAATTGTAATCCTTACGTAATACAATCTAATTGGAAGTCATTCTTTAAATTTGTTGAATTAGGGAGATATATTATTCTCCCCCTATTTTGTATTCTTTAATTAATTCAATCTTACCCAAAAATAACAGTAGAGTTGAAAATCCAAAGGAAAAAAAAGAACAGAACAATTTAGCTCAATGTTGAATTTAACATATAAAAACCGAGGAGATTTTCGAGGTTAGAAGGATAAAGTTCTCTCTGGATGAGAGGTATAGAACAAGCTTGATGACCATAGGATTTTTATTCTAGTAACATTCAGCAAAATAAAGAGATTAAATAAAATTGATTTTAAAGCATTAAAATAAAGCTTGAGTTCAAGAGAACCAGAGAAAATAACATAAACACACAACCAGGATGAGTAACTAGAGAGGAATTTATCGAAATAAGCTTGGTAATACAAACATGCTTCTGTCTATTCAATACTTCCGTCATTTCACTGAGTGACCTACTCTATACCTTAGCTCCTGTTGTTTTGCTTTCAGTTGCTCAGGTGTAAGAGCAGGCTTGGGAGCCTCGACCTTTGTATCCTTAGGAACCTGCAAGATAAATACAAAGTCAGGTGTCATTCCCTGCAATGATTAAAAATGCACACAGGGATGTCATATATCCTATTGGCCTACTGTCTCTGTCAAGATTTCTTTTTACTTAGAATACAACAATATAATATGTAAGCAAGATGGTAAGACATCCTGCCAACGAAGATTACAAAAATGAAAGGATATCATACATCTTGGCTACATTGTGTCAGTTGGTTCAGTTTTATATAATTTAAAAACAGAATGGTTTGTTTGATTTGGTTTTTTCATCAATTTGAGCAGCATTGGTTGATTCTTCAAGTTTCTTAATTTGTTTGGTAGATTTTGATCGGTTTGGTAAGCTCTTCTTTTTCTTTTTTTTTTTTCTTTTTTTTTTTTTTCTGTGTTCGGATACCTAATACAAACCAAACTAATTGTACCTCTATGGTGAACCCATCCTTTGGTTTGGGGCTCTCTCTCCCTCTCTTTCTTTCTTTCTTCTTCTTCTTCTTTTTTTTTTTTTTTTTTTTTTTTTTTTTTTTTTTTTTTTTTTTTTTTT